GAGAAGATAGACACAGTGGGTTTATCTGGAAGCTTAGATTGGGCCTCTGTTGTGGTTTGCTTCTCCCCCGTCTGCCTCCCCCACCTTAACCAGCAAGAGAGTTCTTGACTGTGTTTGCTCTGCGCTAGGGTGTTTTAGGGACTTTAAACCTAAATGCTTTGTAATGCAGAGTTGGGGACTTTCCTTCTCTCTTGTGTGGTGGAATCACTGACTCCACTCTTCTGGACAGCCTTCTCCTGGAAAGCCTTGTTCACATGCCCAGGCATACTTTCAACTTGACCTTTTCCTTTTTTCCTGCAGGGATTAAGGCCTGTGGTTTCCACAGAAGCACCGCCTATCATATTTGCCACACCAACTAAACTGAGTTCCAATTCTACTGCATATGATTATGCTGGGAAAAATAAAGTTCCAGAGCTGCAGAAGTTTTTCCAGGTGAGAGAAGACACTAGAACAGTGAAGGCTGTGAAGTAAATAGACCTAAAAAACCCTACAAAATGGAGTCTTAATCTAGTTTGCTACTCACTTCCCTGTTTTTTCTTAAATAGAAGTCTCTTGATTTTAGTTTAAGCCATAAACTGGTAGAACTTCATGTAGGTAGAAACTGATAAAAGAGGAGAGGGTGATTAATTTCCTCATCACTATTTAAGGTTATGCAGATTTTTAAATTGCATATGTAGCTGTTGATCATCCATTGGATGGAGGAAGCAATAGCATATATATAATAATACTGTGAATAATCCAGTATATATTAGGCTTTGTGACACATGCAGTGACTTTTGGCAATAAGTTTTCTTCTAGTTGATTTTTGCTTGCTTGATATTAAAATTCACTGAACTGTTCCTAGAAGTGGGGGAGGCTCTCTTGGGTTTGCTGATTAGCAGAGAAGCTAGGATTGGACTTAAAAATATGATTAATGTTAATCTACCTACAGATAATTGAGAGGTCAGTGACTCAACTGTATCTCAGGTATCGTGGGAGTGGCAATAGCTGTTACTGCTGTTGCTGGAAGGTAGCTTCCCCCTCCTCAAAAATATGTCCAGATTTAGGACCACCTTGGGGACTTTTGATCAGTTTAATCTCTTTTTTTTTTTGCGGTACGCGGGCCTTTCACTGTTGTGGCCTCTCCTGTTGCGGAGCACAGGCTCAGCGGCCATGGCTCACGGGCCTAGCCGCTCCACAGCATGTGGGATCTTCCTGGACCGGGGCACGAACCCGTGTCCCCTGCATCGGCAGGCGGACTCTCAACCACTGTGCCACCAGGGAAGCCCAGTTTAATCTCTTTTAATCTGATAACTCAGACTTGAGTGGGCATTTGGGGTCTTGAGTTGCCGTGGGGAGGGATTTTGGAGACTGTCCAAAATAATGGATTAAACATTTTATGGAGTCTCATTATTAAATAGGGGTTTAGCAGCTTAATAGAAAGAAGGTAGTTGAGTACAAAATGGACATGAACCTGTTAACTGACCTGGTGTGCTTAGACTTAGTCCACTAATGATCAGAAGTCAGACTAAATGTAGAGCATTTCTTATGCCTACAGGTCTTTGATTAGCTGCTGATTACCTTTGCCTTTAAAAAAAATTCACCAGTGCTCCTTTTGTAATTAAGCAATGTATGATAAATTCCTTAGAAATGTGGATTTGTTGCGCACATGTTCCTGAGGCTGCATTTTGGAGAATGACTTTGGACTTACAAACTTTAGCTACATTAGTAAGAAATACACCAGTGTTTCAGTTAGCATTCTAGTAGATTTGGGCTTTTTCTACTGCAGTGGGTTGATGGATTAGTTATAAAGTAGAGGCATTTGTTCTATATTAGCCTAAATTGTAGAATCTTTTTCTTATCAGCCATATCCTTGATAATTCTTTCTTTCAAGAAATCCGACGGTGTGCCCATCCACCTGAAACGAGGCTTGCCTGACCAAATGCTTTACCGGACAACCATGGCGCTGACTGTGGGAGGGACCATCTACTGCCTGATCGCCCTCTACATGGCATCACAGCCCAGAAACAAATGAGTTAGGCTGCAGAGGACTGGTTTGCTTTTTAGCATAAATCCTTTGAATTTTCATTTTTCATTATTTCTGTAAAAAAAATTTTTTTTTTTAACTTGAATGGCCTACTTAACATTCTTCAAGAAAAACAAATTAAGACAGTATTTTGGTTTGTTATGAAATGCACATGGCCTGGCAGAGCTCATTCGACAGTTAAAACTATTGTTTAAAGAAATGCTGCTGCTCTCTGCATTTGGGCTTCTGATTTCCCTGGAGGTTCTGAATGAAGGTTACACACAGTCTCATTATGGCAGTCTGTGCTGAGGTCCTTGGGGACTTTTGGTGGAGTTTTGAGCTTGGGATGGAGAAGCCTTTTTGGATTTGGATGTGACTGAGGAAGGAAAACAAGCTAAGGCCAGGCACATGAGATGAGAGATTTTGAGTTAGTAGTCACGTTGGGGATTTTTCCATCCTGCAGTAAAATGTTAATAGAGATTATTTGCAGTCTGCCTCTGTTCATTGGGCAGTTTGTTTCAAAGGGTTATTTGCGTCATCTCAGATCTTTAGTGAAATTTTATGTGTAATTGCTATGTATTTATTCCACCATGGGAACAGAGAACACCTGTTTAGTGTTGCACTTTAGACCAATGTCTGTTTTATTAATACAGCTGTGACACAAATTCTCCTTTACCTTTTAAAAATGTTATGGCTTTAAATTATGATTTATTTTAATTGTGGAATAAATACATGAATGAAAAAATCTCAAGTTTGAAGTCCTTTTAAATAAGCTTTCAAAATAATTTCCGAACGTACCAGAGGCATCTTAAACCCGAGTCTAATTTCTTTCTTTTTAATTAGACACTAGATAATCTTTACAAAACGGTTCCTCAAAGTCAAGTAATAGGAGGCGAATGGCATATTCGTGATTACCGTATGGTTCCTTATAAGAAACTGCCTTACCCCTTAGTGAAATGTGCGTGTAGCACACAGTTCATTTAGACAGTAATTTCCTGTGTTGTCACAGTTGGTAGACTTCACATACCCTGTATTAATGCTGGAAAAAGGTGGAATTTTATTATATAAAGTGGTGGTCTGTATTTTGCCATAGCAAAGAACAGTAACCTCTTACTGAAGATAAAATACGGCGTGTGAAAAGTCAGTATCATTCTCACAGGCTAGGAAACCCTTATTTGTCTGTACAAGTCTAAACTTCCTTGGTATTTCCCCCAAGTTTTTATTTTGAGAAACTTCAGAATACAGAAAGATTGTAAGAATAGAACAATATATCCCTGTATGTTCTTCACTTAGATCACCAGTTATCAATATATTGTCCACTTTGCTTTTTCTTGCTCTCTCAAACACAGGCACACATAATATATGTACATAATACACACACACACACACACATTTGGTTTTTGCTGAATCATTTAAGATTAAGCTATGGAATTGTAATTCAGCCATAAATACTTTAGCCAGTATCTCCTAAAAATGAGGACGTTTAGTTATCATGTCCCTTTAGTCTCCTTTTATCAAGAAGAGTCCCCACTGTCCTCCATGACATTGACCTATTTGAAAAATTCAGGGTAGTGTTTTGTAGAACATCCTTCGATTTGGATTTGTCTTACTGTCTCATGATTGGATTCAGGTTGAGCAGTTTAGTCAGGAATTCTCTGTATATGGTGTGGTGTTCTTATTGTATCAGGTGGCACTTGGTACCAGTTCGTCCCATTATTGGAGAGTTGAAGTTGGTTAACTTAATTAAGATGTTGTCTGCCTTGTAAAGATACCCTTTCCCCTTTGTAATTAATAAGTAATCTGTAGGGTGATATTTGAGACTGGGAATATCATGTCCTCAGTGGTTTTGTACCCAGTGTTAGTGTTCCTTGGTGATTCCTGATGGAATCATTTATTACTAAGGTGGTTGTAAAAAAGTGATTTTCTAATTATTATTGTTGATGTATCTCAGTGAAGAGGAGTACTCCCGTTTTAAGAGGTTTTAGTGTAATTTTCTCATTCAAGGTAATAACCACCCATGCCATTGTTCATGCTGATTCTCAAATTTGGCCCAAATTTGGCTTCTGTGTCCCACTGACAGTCTTTGAGCAGTTTCTTACTTTCTGACACACAGAATGCTGTCCACGTTTACCTTGTATTTTCTCTACCCCAGTTTCTTCTGTTCACTTTCAGGTATGTTCTGTCATATATATAGATGCATTTTCCTTCTCTGTCTTTTATTTTTGCCTAACTGATACTGTACATTCCTACTACTCATAGTTTGGAGATTGTTCTCTATCTCATTTTTCTGCATTGTATTCCATTTTATGAATACCCCATAGTTTAACTAGTCTCCTTTAAAAAAATTTTTTTTAATTTATTTATTTAATTTTTTTTTTAAATTTTTGGCTGCGTTGGGTCTTCGTTGCTGTGCGCAGGCTTTCTCTAGTTGCGGCGAGCAAGGGCTACTCTTCGTTGTGGTACACCGGCTTCTCATTGCTGTGGCTTCTCTTGTTGTGGAGCATGGGCTCTAGGTGAGCGGGCTTCAGTGGTTGTGGCACGTGGGCTCAGTAGTTGTGGCTTGCGGGCTCTAGAGCGCAGGCTCAGTAGTTGTAGCCCACAGCCTTAGTTGCTCCGCGGCATGTGGGATCTTCCCGGACCAGGGCTCGAACCCGTGCCCCCTGCATTGGCAGGCGGATTCTTAACCACTGCACCACCAGGGAAGCCCCTAACTAGTCTCCTTTTGATGGTTATTTAGTCTTAAATTTTTTGCTTTTACAAACACTGCCTTAAACATATCTTCTTTACATGTCATTTTACATATTGCTGAATATATTTGTAGAATAATTTCTAGAAGTGAGACCTTTTGTTTTTTTTTTTTTTTTTTTTTTTTGCGGTACGCGGGCCTCTCACTGATGTGACCTCTCCCATCGTGGAGCACAGGCTCCGGACGCGCAGGCCCAGCGGCCATGGCTCACAGGCCCAGCCGCTCTGCGGCATGTGGGATCCTCCCGGGCCGGGGCACGAACCCGTGTCCCCTGCATTGGCAGGTGGACTCTCAGCCACTGCGCCACCAGGGAAGCCCTAGAAGTGAGGCTTTTAAGGCAGAGAGAATGTGTATCTCTAACTTTGATAGCTATTCCTCACTGTGAGAGATGGTGTGGATGTACAATCCTATTTAGCCATGATGAGGGTGCCTGTTCCTCCTCACCTTTGTCAGCCAAATGCATTGTCAAACTTTTTCATCTTTGCCAATCTGGTAATGATAAAATGTCTTTGGTTTAAATTGTCTTTCCACTGTAATTAGTGATGTTGAATATCTTTCTTTAATTTAAAATTTATATTTAAAAATTTAAAAATCTTTTTATTTTTAAAGGTAAAATATATTTCCTTTTTTGTGAACTATCTAATCATGTACTTGGCCTCCTTGTTTCCAGGTACTTTTTGATAATGCTGTAAATGTTATTGGTCCATCAGGCCGAATTCCTCAGAAGCACTCTACTGACTCGTCTGAGCCAAACGTCTTCTGATTGCAAGTCTCAGAAATTCATTAAAACCAGCCAATGCAGAAAGGGGGATTTTCTAGAATCTGAGTGGAGCTGGGCCACAAGGCCTACCTTTGGGACCAAGGTGGTTGTCCTTTCTGTTATTCTCTTGGCTGTGCAGCTGTTTAACTCTTGTTTCTGTGGACCAGCTTTATCTCTGTTTCTTGTTGCACATGGTAGGAAATGGTTGTCTAGCTCCAAATTCCAGGAGAGAGAATATCATTGGCCCCTTGTGGGTCCGGTGTCTCCCACTGGGCCAGTCAACTGTTTGGTGCCAGCCTATGGGGAGATGCAGTGAAGGAGCTCAGGGTGTCCTCTTCTTGGGTCTTAACTGAAGGCTCCGAGCCTTTCACCGTGTTCTCAGTTAGGATTATTCCTTCTAAGCATGGTACTTTGAACCCTTGCCAGGTTGGATTGTTTACTTAGAGGGGGGCCATCCTCCTTGTCAGTGCTGTCTCGATGAGATGCTGTCAACAGAGGGACAGTTACTCTCTTCACCTCTTCCAGACTATGTGGTTAGTCTTCACAACAGTGGTCTGAACTCATGTAGCTCTGGGGGTAGGAAAACTCCATGGAGTACCCAGGCAAGGATAATTTTAAGGGAATCAATTTTTAGGTCCTCAACTTCTGTTATATTTCTAAAGTTGAGCTGTCTGAGAACACGCCTAGCATAAGGGGTCTCTTATCACCTTTTCCATTCTGCAAAAGGAAAGCAAACCCTCACCCATTCTAGTCAGGACCATAGTGTGTTGCCCTGCTCTCTGGGGTGCCATGGGGATAATTCTAAATATAAATGTTGAGAATATGAGTCTAAAGACTAGGGAATAATCCTTTTATAAGTTACAAGTTTTCTGAGTCTACTTTTAACAAAATTGGAGGAACCAATTGAGTTGTCAGTTGATCATTAAAAATAATTTTGATAACAGATCACTGCATGACTTTGGTGTATAACTCGGGAGTTCAAGGAATTCAGAGATGTTGCTATTACAGAACTTCCATTGCCATCTATTTATTTATGAGAACAAGGTGTCTCAGGGCTTAATATCTATAAAAATGAAAAACAGGAATGGAATTGGTGCTGAAACTGTCTTAACAGTAAGCAAGATTCATCCCTGGAAACATGAACCTTCTTACTCTATCAGGATGCATTTCTAGTGAAATTTTGCTCATTTAATAATGATCAGTATTTATATTCTGTTGTTTCAAAATATGTGCTAATAGCAGTCATAATCATGCAATCCAGAGTAAAATATTTTTGAACACTTAGAGCTTATGAGGTCACAGGATATTTGATATGTTACAGGGAATTATAAGTATGGTCAATAAGAGACTTTCAAGCCTAAAAATGTGTTACATTAGGGTAAAATGTGGGGGGTAAAATTCTAGATGGAGGAGAGTAATGGAGCTACCAGTTCAAGAAGAAATTTCTGACTTAAATAGACATTTGTATTTTTAACTAGATGAAGGTAGGTGTCTAATTGTGATGGTATTTACAGTCCACTGGATACATTTATAAGACTGACTTAATAGTTTACGCCATTATTTACAATACACCAGAAACTGTCTTTGCAACTATTTAAAATTATAATGAAAAACTTTAGATGTTAAGCTTACATAATACAAAGGGGAATACATAGATTTTCAAAATCCTTTTAGGGTAAACAAGAGCAAGAAAGGTTGAAATGGCAGCTTTATACTTTTCCTTTCAAAGAAGTGCCCGTTTACCCCTTCTCTGTTTTCTCTCTCAGCCAGAGTCCCTTTCTGGGTCCAACAAGCTTTCCCTCTCCTTCCTGGCCTCTCATATCCTGTGACTCCAGTGTGAAGCTGTCAGTGGCCTGGTGAGGGTGGGATTGACTGTTACAGCACTGGCTGGCTTTCTTTGGTTTATATACTTTTCCTCTCCGTTATGTGTGTGGCCCTGGGCTGGCTTCTCAGGCTTGTCTGACGTTGAGGTTCCTAATGCCCAAGTCTTCTATCGGGCTTTTCTTATGGCTGGAAGCTGTGCAAACCTTTCACTTTCTGGCCTGTTGATACTCAGTAGCTAGAGGTTATACCAGGGACAATAATGATTGACTGCTTAGAAATTCTGATACTGTCTGGTTCCAGTGATTTAATACATTTATTTGACATTTTGACTGCACGTATCCTGGATTGGAGCACTCTTTAATCTAGCACCAAATACTGCCCGCGTCGGGGTTGAGAAGTGGGACCCTGTCCTTAGTGCTCCTCTTGTCAGATTCAGTGGCTGTCAACCTTGGTCATCCAGGGCTGCCTCTGACCCACAGTCAGTCATTAAGGAGTTCCACTAATCTGCTTCTTCCAGATATTTAATTAGCGTGCCAAAGCCTGGGACCCCAAGATGAATCAGATACTTTGATTTGTAAGCAAACACTGTGATTATATTTAAGGAAACTGTTATAAGAATTATTTTTAGGTCCTTTTCAGGTTGTCTCTCAATCGCTTAGGGTTGGTAAACCACATGGTCAAGAAACTCTGTTATGAAGGAATTCTGTTATCCTTCACCTGTCCTGATTTGGGAGCTCCATAAGACTGGTGGGGTTTGGTTGCTTGAGGACAGGTTGCCCCCCTGGCTGGGTGCAGGTAGAGGAAGCCTGGCTGTGGCTTCTGTTCCGGGACCCATGTTGCACCTTGGCTTCGTGGGTCGGCCCCATAGTTGGGAGCATCAGCTGACCCTGGCTCTCATTACATGAACAGAGCAACTGGGGTGGCCCAGCCACCTCCTGGCGGAAGATTAGAGGGGATGGGTCATTTGCACTTGCATAAGCTCGAATCAAGAATCCTGACCTTTGTGTGGCGTGGGGGTGCTGTGCTGCTGCAGGATGGGTTGGGATGGCCAGATTGAGATGAGATGCTGTTTGCTCAGGGTCCGGAGTCTGTTAGAGCTCTTTTCTAAGGAAGCTGCTGCAAACTAATGGAAACAGGGCAGGCGGGGTGGCTGGAATATCATTCTTTAGATACTTCTTTTTTTTTCTTGAGTTCTGTCACAGCCCTCCTAGGACATCATGGCTGGACCTTGTCCATTGACACTGAGCTTTGTCATGGTCACATGGTTGTACCTCAGGGCCCAAGCATAGGTCTTTCAGACTGTCCAGCGTGTACTAGCCAGATTGGAATCCTTGCCTACTCCAAATAGCATTATGATGGGAGTCGGCTGAAGTGCCCTAGGCTGTAAGAAGTGGTGGGGTTGCCTCCCAGTTGGCAGGGAAAGTTTTAGAAAGAAGCAGAAGAAGCTCACTGCGAAAGGGCCTCGATATGGCTATAAACTGTAACTGACAAAATTAGGGACCTGGGTTTTCAAAGGCAGAAAAGGAGAGGCTGGTACTGGGGCCGGGTGGTGGTGGTGGGGGCGGTGGTGGGGAGGAGTGCTGTAAGGGAAGTCGTCTCGGAAATAAGGGTGTTTCCTGAGGGCACCTCGCCAGGCAGGAAGACCACGCCCTGGCTTTTCACACGTTTGCGCACTCTGAGCCAGAGGGACAGACAGGCGGTGGGGGGCAGGTAGGCAAGGGTAGAGAGGAGGTGCCTGCACCGGGCCTGCTGGCCCCAGGGTCCGCTTCAGGCTGTGGCTGTACCGGGCTTATGCTGAAGGTGTTGAGAGATTAGAGCCTGAGCCCAGGACTTTGGGAGACGTCCAAGGAAGGAGGCAGCCTGGTTGCTCAGCTCAGCCTGGGCCCCTCCCCTCAGGGAAGTCCTAGCAGGAGTTACAGAAGTGCCTTGCCACTGGAGAGGGTGGGGGAAGAAGGATGTAAGATGCTCTAGAATTGGTTAATACCTGTCAGGCTCCAAGCCCATCTTCCACTCCCCGACACCTCCCCTGCTTAGGCCACAAAACCTTGTGAGATAGCAGATTAATTTGAAAATTGAGCTGCAGCTGGATGAGTTGATGTCAACTTCAGAGTTCAGTTGTGTTTAATTAAAGCCATCCAGAGACTAAACCTGCTCCCAGGAAATTATTCTGACCGAATAATTAAAAGAGAATAAAGGTTAGATTTGTGTTTCTGGCTAAGTCTCTATTGCATTCGGCATCTACAAAACATGAATTCCATTAACCTTTTGTGAACCAACATTAAATTGCTTTCAGTTAGTTGTCATTCTAATTAAAGTAGAGTCACACAGAAGAGCCTTTGTTTATACTTGGTGTCTGTTCCCTTTTCTTCTCTGGAATTATGTCCTTGAAGAAACGGTCATTTGGAAAATCGGTTCATAACTTTATGTGTCTGCCCATCCCTCCCTTAGTCGGGGTCCTGTTCACTGAGCATCAGAAGGAATTGCACCAGGGGAAGTAGGCTGCAGCTGCAGAGGACGGCTGGGGTAAGTAATCACTGCGGGTGCTTGGACTGAGGTGTGTAATTTGCAAAAACATGTCCTGCGGCCACGGGAGATAAAATGAAGGACTAGTTAAGGTCGCCTGCCCAGTTCAGGCCAACTTGGGCAGGGGCAGGCCCCAGGGAAGGTCTTCCCAGGAGGGCCTTGTGGGTTGGGAGAGGGTGTCCTGCCATACTGTGACCTAACTCCCCCTGGGCCTCTGTGCTTTGGGTATGGGTGGCTTTGTTCCTGCTGAATGATGGGTCAGTTCATCCGGGCCTGTCTGCAGCCTCAGTGTCCTGAAGGAGTCAGCACACTCGGGCTCTGGGCTCGTGACTGCAGCAGCGGGGAGGGAGGCGGTGAGATAGAAGGTCTGTGTCTCTGCTCTAGGACTTACCTGTACCTTGTCATGCAGCATATTTTCCTGCATGATTGTGGATGTGAGGTGTTATGAACAAGAGTCTCTAAGCCAACCCAGGATTTCTCAAGATGGATCACTCACTCCAGGCCCCCAGAACTCAGGAGGCAGGGAGAGGAGATCTGCTTTCTTCAGCTTCAGGTCCGGACAGAGGTCAGAGGTGCTGACTGTACCCTTATTTGTGTGTCTTGGGAATGGGAATGTGCGGGGGTTGCTTGCCGGTCTTTGCTGAGCTTGTGCTGTGCTCTGGGCCTAGAAGAAGCTCATAGTGGTCTGGGATCTGGACCAGATGCTGCTAAAAACAGAAGGGGCAGCCTGACTCCACTTGGGAAGATGGTCATGCCTCAGGCTTCAGACCCAGGAGCGCCTCGGGTCTGCGGTTTCCTAGTGGTGCCAGGCGACCTGGCCATGTCTGAGCTGGGGCTTGAAGTCAAGTTGGCTCTTCTCTTTCCTGGTGCCCCAGCTCCCTGGGCTGTCTCTGACTCCTGATGAGTTTTCTGGCCTTCCCTCATGGGCCATCAGGTGCCCTGTTGTCTTTTCTCACAGGGCTTTTCCGTGAGCAGATCTGGGGTTACCTGAGGATTGGCACCCCATCTCCCTAGCAGACTGGGGACTTGCCCCGTCTTCACCGTCAGGAAGCTTTAACAGCATGTACCATTCATTCCGTAATTGCTGCGTGCCAGATTCTGTGTTGGGCAGTAGAGACCAGAGAGAGGTGATGCCGTCCTTGGTCCCCGAGGTCAGAGAATGATGGGCACAACCAAAGTGCAACAGAACTGTCCAGAGGCAGGGCCAGGGTCCAGGAAGGCCCAGGAGTGGCAGGGACACCCTCAGAGGGGACACTGTGGAAATTGCATAGTGATGCGTCAGGAGTTCCTTGCTAAATACAGTGGGGAAGGGCATTTGGCCTGAGGGAAAGGTACTTGCTGATGTGTGAGAGGAGGTGGGGGAGAGGCAGGCTCAGGCCAGGGGCCGGGCCAGAGCGGGCTTGGACTCTAGTCGGTAAACAAGAAGGGTATGTGTTGGGATGGCCACAGAATCCAGTGTTCTTTTGGTTCTTTTGAATCCATGGTGCCAATATGGAGGACAGATTGGAGGGGAAAAAGACTCGCAGCCTTGGGCTAGTTAAGAGTTATAACAGTTCATTTGAGAGATGATGAGAGCCTGGGGACCAGTGGCAGCGGGCATGGAGAGAGAGGCGTGAAGCCCAGGGATGTTAAGAAGGCAGAGTGAACACAGCCTGACGCTTAGTTGGACATCGGAGGTCAGGGTGAGGCAGGCTTCTGGGTGCTCCCGGGATGACTCAGCCTGGCTCCTGGGTGAGTGGAGGTGCAGGACTGGGGGGTCAACAGGGCAGGGCACGTATGGAAAACAGTGGATTGCCTGTGAGCCCTCTAGGCAAGGAATTCCAGTCAGCAGTTGTGTCTGGAGATGAGCCCAGGGGTCTGGACTGGAGGTAGGAACTTGAGAGGTGGCAGGACGCAGGGGCAGTGGAAGCCTGGGGTCTGCTACATTGTTAGGAAGTGTATGAATGTGAGGAAATAGAATGGGGGAAATACCAGTATTTCAGGAGCAGGTGGAGAGGACAAGAGCTTGTGATGGCTCCTAGGGTCTAAGAACATAAGGAACACAGACATCATGTTGAGTGAAAGAAGCTGGACACAAAAGAGAGCATACCCTGTGATTGCATTTAGATAGAAGTCAAAGCTGGGCAGAGCCAATCTATGGTGATAGAGGTCAGAACAGAGAGGGAGTACTGACAGGAGGGTATCACAGGGCAGGCTTCTGTGCCGGGAACGTGCCAGCTCTTCATCTGGGTGGGTGTGTACACGTGTAGGCAGATAGGCAGATACCCTGAGATGTCTGCACTTTACTGTAATTTATACCTAAAAAAAAAAAAAATCTTTAAAAGCTTAAGAAAGAAGGGAAGGAAGATGGAAGTGTAGGGGAGGAAAAGTAATTTTCCTTCCACCCTGTGAGTTCTTGGCTGAGACCCCTGTAGTAAAAGACAGATAAACAAGAGACAAACAGAAGTTTACGAACACATATACCTCATGTGTACATGGGAGGTACTCAGGGAAAAATGAGCAACTCCCCAGGCGGGCTTAAAATTCAGGCTTAAATACCATCTTAGTAGGGAAAAGGGAGGGAGGGAGGCCTCCTAGGGGAGAGTGCATGATTTTTAGGGAAGATGAAGGACCCTTAGAATGGTGGATGGGAGGTGTGATGGTTTGTGACAAGTGTGTCTGGGTGTGGTGTGGACTCCAGTCTCCTCTCCTGGGATAAGAGTCAATCTCCCTTGGTTGATGAAGCTCCTGGGAGGGGATTTTTTTTTTTTTTTTTTGCGGTACGCGGGGCTCTCACTGTTGTGGCCCCTCCCGTTGCAGAGCACAGGCTCCGGATGCGCAGGCTCAGCGGCCATGGCTCACGGGCCCAGCCGCTCCGCAGCATGTGGGATCTTCCCGGACCTGGGCACGAACCCGTGTCCCCTGCATCGGCAGGCGGACTCCCAACCACTGTGCCACCAGGGAAGCTCCAGGGAGGGGATCTTTGACAATTGAGTTCCTTTTGGAGCATCTGTCTTTAGGCAGATGGGGAGCTCAGAGAAAGCCTCTCACTGGATTGGCTGTTTTTCAGGTGCCTACAGCTCAGAATAATCAACATACCAAAGTGGCATATTTGGGGCTGGCGTATTCTGCTGCTCTTCAGAAGGAAGATGGAAGGAAGGAAAGAAGGGGAAATAAGGAAGGAGGAAGGGTGGATGGAGGGAAGAAAGAAAGAAACCTGAAGCCAGTGGTGCCTGGCAGGAGAGGATAGGGTTTTCAAGAAAGAGGATGTGACCAGTGTCACTCACACGCCTAGAGATCAAGCCCTGGGCTAGCTCCATAGAGTGACCTGGAGACTGCCCTCCCAGTCCTCCCATGGTCACTAGAGTGTGTCCCCAGCGCTGCGGAATGAGTGGCATAGAACAGACCCTAACATTGAATCAGGACAGGGAGGGCATACCTGAGAAATCTCCCGTGCTTGGGTCATAGTTCCCAGCAGTGCAGATGGCCCCTCTGGTTTCCTGAGTGTCCTCCCAGGCAAATCCCGGTGTTGAAATTTGATAACGTTTAATAAAAAATGTTATCATCTACTATAATTTAAAAGAACTTCCTTCTGTTTCAGTGTGAGGGTTTCCCATAGAAACCACTTCAGCCTGGGCGGCTGTGAATGGCGGCTTTATTAACAGAGCCATCTGCAGGCTTTCCTAACAATCTGTCGCCCTGCTCATGGCTTCCAGTGCAAACATTGTTTATTGTGATGTAGGCCTCAGCCTGTCACCCGTCACCTGGAGGGGGACAGCCTTCCCTGCGCCCCGAGGCAAGAACAGCTCATCTGCTTCCCTCGAGCCCCTTGGACGCAGGGCCCTCGCAGAGCAGGGGCGGGCAGAGCCCTCGAGCTCATCAGGAGGTCTCTCCCCTGAGAATCAGATGCTCCCGGTGGGCAAACCCTTACTCTCTTTCAGACGGAGACCAGGGAGACGGGGCCTAAACTTACCTAAACTCACAGTGAAACATGCCCTTTTCATTGCAGCCTTAGGTTTTTTATGTCAGATACCTGACTTGCCCTCACGGAAGGGCTGACTCACCTTCAAGTGGGACTGGTATGAGAGAGACCTCACCAATGCTCCAGGGGCCTGAGGGCTTGAAGCTAACACATTCTTTCGAGAGAAAAGGGACTCTTGGCTCAGCTCAGAATTAATTCATCTTTTAAATGGAAATGTCAAAGCCTGGCAAGCACTCCTGCTCATGATTCTGGTGCTGAGATATTCATGGGCAGCAAACAGTAGGCCACATGAAAATGGATTTTGCCATTGAAACCAGAGGGGACTAACGCTCTCAAAGGAGAAAACCTGATCACCTAATCTCAATTCTGCCGCAGTTTCACCAGGGCCTGCTATATAGTGGAATTCTTCTTTTTCTTGTCATTTTATTACTTCTGAGTAAGGGAAGGTGATTTAGCCCAAGCACCTGAGGCAAGGCGGCCGTGGGGCGGCTTCAGGAGAGCATTTCCAAGAAAGGGAGTGAGCATCAGTGACACTCAAAGCAGTCAGAAGGGGAAGCCAGTGAGGACCCAGGAGGAGGCCTCGAGAAGGGGTGCAGAATGCCCAGCGAAGGGGAGGACTCCTCTGGCTGCAGGGGTAATGCACTGGCTGCTTCTGGGGAGGCAAGCAGGTAAAGCCTCTGTGTTCCCAGACACACCTCTGACCAGCGCCCCTCCCTTGCCTGGGGCTCCTCCAGGCCCACACTCAGCTAGGAAGTCTCGCACAGACCCCGTGGGGGCAGAGAAGTGGCAGGGAAAGCTGCAGGGAGCGCCGTTTCACATCAGCAGTGTTTTATTTGATCATAGATGGAGTACCTCAAGTGCACAAGGACAAATTTTATTTAAAAATTTTTGTTGTATTAAGGCCCATATTTGTTTCCATATTCCTTTCAAAAGCATAAAAGAGAAGGGAGTTTCTATATCATTATTTAAAAAAAACTTATTTTGAAATAATTATAGACTTAGAGGAAGTTTAAAAAAAGAGAGACTGGTGAACCCTTCCCTCAGCTTCCCTCAGTGGTGACATCTTATATAATGTGTAGTTTTATGTCCAGGAAATGTTCATTGGTACAACAGAGCCATGCAGACCACAGACCTTAATCAGTATCCACCAGTTCTGCCTGCATTCCTGTGTGCGCGTGTGCAGTTCTGTGCGATTTAGTCCTGTTTATAGATTCGTGTAATCACCACCACAACCAAGATGCAGCCTGTTCATCATCGGAACCCCCGTGCTGCCCCTCTGTAGTGACATCCCCTCCCCTCCGTCCCTGTCCCCTGGCAACCACTAGTCTGTTCTCTAATGTTGCTGTTTCAAGAATGTTATAAATGGAAATGTACAGTTGGTAAACTTTCCAGATTGGCTTTCCAGGATCCATGCTCCGTGAGGGTAGGGCCTGCATCTTTTCATTGCTGGATTCCACGCCGAGCCCAGTACAGTTTGCACGTGTACCCGATGAAACAATGACTCCTAGTCTCATACAAATTCGCCGGGTTCAGACTGGCTACCACTTTGAAGGTGTCGGCAGCACGATACGTTTTTACTGTAGAGTGAGTGAAGTCTGTAGAAGGAAGAGGCCCTGCCCTTGCTGGTCATCCGACTTACACAGTTGCATTAACCGAGAGAGAGTTCTGCGGCTGATGCGGTAAGAGAATGCCAGCTTCTGGTTTCCCTGCTTCCAACCAGGTCTCCAAGTCAGCCCGACCCAGTGTTGGCTGAATGGGCATCACTGTGCTGAGATGGGCTCCAGAGTACGCTTTGACTCTTCCCAGGATGCACTATGGCTTGGTGGAACATCAGGAATGAAACGGGATGACCAGGTATGAGGGCTTTGCTTTTTATTAAAAAGTTATTTTTCTTCCCTGAGGCCCTTTTAGCACTTTGTCTCCAGCTCCTTTAGTGTGAGATCCGGCAAAAATGAACTCTGCCAGGGGTTGAAATCTGCGTAATCCCGCAGAGATACTGAGTCAACACTGGCAATTATGCATATTCACGCCTGTCCCTGGGTGGCTCCCTAGGAAGATCTATTTTCAGGACTGCGTGTTTACACTGCTGAGGGAGAGGAGAGGCAGGATCAAAGCCCTCTGGCTGAGCCTGGGCTGGAGGATTAAGGGGAAGAAGCACTTGACTGGTGAAGGAAGAAGCTACTATGCTTTTTTGGTGAAATGGAAATTGCTCAAAGGTTGGAAAATAAGGGAGCAGCTTCTCCACACAAATAGGTTTAAATTGAACATCAGGGACTGAGGACACAGGAGCCAAGAAAGGCAGGAAGGGCAGGGAGTCACTGGCAGCAGGTGCCGCAGCATGCCTGGAAGCTCTGCCCCGCACTCCAGTTGTAGGGATGACAGGAGGGGACTTGTGCAAGGGAAGGGTCCCTCCAACTTTGTGACTGTTCAGAGCCCAAAGACGCTTTTTCCAAAGCCTAATCACTTTCTGTGGTTTCTGCATATACTGGTCTCAAATCCTTCCTACCAGAAGCTCAACCCATTTCATTCTCTTTTTGTTACTAATAATCACTAAATTAACTGTTCTGCAGTGAGCATCTCCTGCAGTGCTGCACAGCAGAGCACGGGGCTGGCCCCAGGAACTCTGGGGGCAGGAGGACCTGCCTTCAAATCTTGGCTCAGCCACTTGCTACTAGGGTAACCTGGCTTCTCATCTGTAAGTTTACTCGTCTGTAAAATGGAGATAATCGAATTCAGGATTGTTGGAAGAATTGAATGAGTTAGTACGTGGAAAGCACTTCAGTGTTACGTTATGTGTTAGCTGTTATGGCTGAGTAGCATTTCGTTCTGTGGATGTGTGCCATATTGTAATCATTGAGCACTCAGTTTCTTATTTTCCACATTTCTTGATGTTTTTGTCCTTTGAGATACAGAAGTGGCACCCTTAAGTTTTTCTGCTAGACTTTTGGATTGGTAAAATTAAAACAAAAAACACAAACGTGTTCAGTTCTGTAAGCTATGGTCTCCTGAGGATGTCACCCATGGATATAGAAATGAAACACACTGACGTTTCTAGAGACAATGAAACTTTGTTTTCTCCTTTTGGGATTCTTTCTCTTTTAGTTTCTTTGTCCACTTTGTATCAGAGGTTACTGTAGGGGTCTATTAATGAGGGTGGAGTCGAAATTCAGGTTTCCTTTGGAAAAGATGAACTGATTAGCACAAAAGGTGTAATATTATCAGAGTCCCTGAGGAGAGCAGGAGTTGCCCCTTTACAAAGGAGACGTTTACTATGGTCCTTGAAGATGCCAGTCCTGGGCATCCTGGACAAAGGCGGCTCTTCAGCAGGGCCTATTTCTGTGATGGGGACAGACGTGCAGCGTTGCTGTGGGCAGTGCCCTCACCCTCTCCTGAACTGAGGACTGAGATGACATAGTCCTCTGCTGTTTCCCCGTCTCCTTTCCAAAAATCTCTGAATCTTCACCCACATCTTTTCCTTCTTCCTCCATTTATAGAGAATGTCGTTCTCCTCGTGTAAGTGGAAGAGGCTCCAGCTTTCCAAGTTACAACACACGAAGTCCTGGCGTGGCAGTTATCTGGGTAAGTGAACGCAGGCCTGTTCCTGAACCTCTCCAGCCCGCCCCTTGCCCACAGGGCAACACACCCCTTGTCATTGCGAGCTGGGGTGTCTGGGGGTGCACTGGCCACACGGGGACTCCTCCAGCAACAGCTCTGCTCCGCTCCACCCAAGTCCTGAACACATGCTCTTCAGCCCCGTCTCCTTTGTCCTAAAAACATGTCCTTGTCCTAAACTCTCATTGTAGTTCCACCTTTAAGCTAGAAACCTAGTTCCTTATAGAAGTTACACTAACAAACACCTCAATATGTCCAAGATCTAATTCATCATTATTTCCCCATAGAGGTTCCTTTTTTGGATCTCCTTTTTTATTAAGAAGAAAAATCATATTGTTTAGTGGGTTGGTTCTGGTGTCTGTCAGCTGTTTTGTCTCTGAATTCTTGAAAGAGGAATTCCTGCCCCAAGACAGCATCTCACAGGTTAGTATATGCGAGTGGCTGTGAACATATATTCATAGTTAACAAGGATGAATAAGATGATGATGAAAACCCCATCATTTCCATGACTGTAAAACTGGGAATGTATGGGATACTCTTAGTCTAATGCTTCATAAAGAAAAATTTGTAGCAGCTAATTTATGGTTGCGGTGTACAGAGGATGTATCACTAAGCAACACGGGAGAGATGGCGAAAGCGGGACGCTGAGTTCAAGGGCTTCTGGCAGGCTACACCGGGGAGGCAGGCAGTGGAGGCGGGTCAGGCAGGTAACCAGGATCACCAGGATTACCTAACAAACACTGGAGAGAGTGTAGACATGAAATAAATTAAAACAAAGCTATTCCCTATTAAATGGAAGCATAAATGAGAAGTAATTTCCTCTAACATTATGAGATGGAGTCTGTCACTCCAGAATAGCTGTATCCATAGCAGTGGCAGTGGTCAGCTGATAAATGTGTCCTTCTGAACTGTCATGTCTTCTGATGATTGGACAGTCACGGAAACTAGCAGCATAAATGAAAAAAGACTCAAGACACATTTGGAGAGACAAATGAAACATTTTATTTTTTAATCTTCAAAATCTTCTGCCATAAGACAGGAATGCATGATAGAAATGGCTCAACATCTTCACATGAAACACTTGGATTCATTTTCATTCACAAGTTTTTCTAAAAACATCTACAATTTCATAATCCCACCCACTTCCAACCATTATCACAGATTTAGTTGACTGTTAAACAGTAGTCGCCAGCAGTAGAGCTGGAACGCTTTCTGCGTATTAGTAGTGTCTTTGGAAACTACCACCCAAGATATCACGAATATAAATTTCATGGTACACAGCAACCCCAAAGGTGACTGATGTCCCCAAATAAACTCCCTGCTTATCATGGAGAGTGGTATCCCCCGGGTACTTAACGAAATGCTTTTTCTTCTCCTAGAATTACTTGTTCATCTCATAGTATTTTTCTTGCAGGGTATATAGCACATGCTGACCTGATGATTCAGTCACCATAGCTAATAGGCAAATATATATGCCTGATACTACTGCTGCTCTCTGATAATTATGTACAAACATACTGAAAAATGATGGGTTGCTTGGAGTCTACCTCCCTTCTTCTGAAGAGAACTACTTTGAGGTTTTTTTTTTTTTGAACAGTTGTAAACAAAAGGAAAGAGAAATACATGGACATATATCTATACACAGAGATAACACACTGAGTATTTTCAGTGTGGTGCATATCTTCTTATATAGAGATACACAGAGTGAGTGTCTACACTCACCCCTTCACACATACCCACACCCTTACATACAGCATGTGAATACAAATGTCGTGAGTGTCCTTGGGAGTTCACTGAAGTTTGTGTATTACCAAATGATGATGAAATACCTGATTTGTATTACTCCTGAGAAGACAGTAGAAGGGAATGACAGTTCTGATGCACTTTGGAATGGCACAGTCACGTAAACACTTGCATACTTAAGACTTTTGAACTCATCCAAAGTTTCTAAACATGATCTAACCAAAAAAAAAAGATATCAAAACATTGCAAGTTAAAAAATAAAAGTCTTTTTTTATAATCAAAGTATAAACAAATATATAGGAAATGCATATTTGTCAGTAATTATTTTGAAAATAGGAAACACATACTTAAGAAAAACAATCATCTGACAAAACTTAAAAAAACAACTATCCAATGCATAATAACACATGCACTGCCCCCAAACAGCAGAGGATAGCCACATCAGAACTGCAAGGCTTACAGCAACTCCACCAGAGAAAGATCACTGTGTATAGCAGGTCTGTTAGTATGCAATTTATAAAAAATGCCTGTGACTATTATTCACACTTATATAAAAAAGAATTTGCCATTTGTTGAGTATTTTATCCCTCAATAATCTGTATAAAAATTACACCTAAACCAGTGAATTTCAAGCACCAATTCAATCATTTAAACTTTATTAATATTTCTGTTATTGAAGGAGCAAATTATGATGAAGGCTAAGCTAAGATTAGCCAAGTGTAATTTTATAGGCGTGCGGTTTCTTCTGTTCATTCACTTGAATGCCAAACATTTGAAAATGTTTAGGCCAGCAAAGGAATCCTTGGAGGAATCCATTATTTCGGAGTATCAATGGTTTAATATACATTAAAAGCTCTTTAACAAACCACTGCTTTCTTAGTTCTAAGATAAAATAGATTTGCACACAGGAAATTAAGGGGCTTAGAAAAGGCAGCACCTACATGGTAGACTAACAAGCACATCTGGACATCTGCTGGCTACGTAAGAAAAGGGTGTTATTATTTAAGAAGGCAACACCACTGCTCATGGCACTAATGAAGTTTTTAACTAAAAAATTTCCACTAGACATTTGGGGTGGGAGGGAATCTCAGTAAGAAAAGGTTTTTTTTGGTTTTTGTTTTGTTTTTCTGATTTTCAGCATCAGGAAAAAAAAGTAGCACAGTCTGAGCCAGCAGATGAGTAACAGTGTTTGTGATGCCTCTGCTTGTTCCTGAAGAAAACCTGCTCAGATAATGAGGGGTTTATTTAAAATCTATACAACCGCTATTTTTGTTTCCAGTATTAACATCATACCACTCACGTACACAGTAATTTCCGAGACACAATTAATGTTTCAGTCTTTTCCTACTATTAAGTTTGGTTAATTTTCAACACACATCAAACCGAACCTTTAGGTCGACTGCATTTAAGAGACGGAAGATAAGACTATTGAAAACAGATTACGTGGAAACCAAAATCTCCGTCAATAGTGATTCTCCATCACTTCCTGGCCTGTTATCTGAAACTTTATCACAAGACCACATCATGCAGCTGGAGGAAAAAAGTGAGTCACGTGGAAGTCCTGGTGTTAGGACAGGGGTGAAGGGTCTTGCTGGTCCCCGGGAAGAGCGCCTTCGCTCTGCTCATCACTCATCTCATGGGCTGGCTCTTCATAAACAGGCTCACCGAGGTCTTCGCTGCCCCCCTCACTCTGCTCCTCACTGTGGTCTTCGCTGGGCCCCACAGTCTGTTCCAGGCTGTTCTCCAGAAGTGTGGGAGAACTGCTTATCCTGCTTTCTTCTTCAGCTGTCTCATTTAAGGGCTGGGAAGGAGGTGGTGTGGGAGCATCAGACTGCATGACACTTTCAATGGAAGAGATGGGGGCTTTGGTGAGCGCAGTATCTGCTACAACCTCATTTTGAGGCAAAGATAACTTTTCCACAAGTTTCCACTGAATGATGCTCGTGTCTTTTCCACCAGTTGAAATCAGGTGACTGTCATTATGAGTAAAACTGACATTGGTGACATGGCTGCTGTGGGCACTGTACTTGTGACTGGGAGCCTACATGAAATAAATCAGATAGGAAAATTAAACTCATTCTTCACATGCCTACTTACAGCAATGGAGGTGACTAGGTTAGGGAGGTCATTCAGTTTGTGAAACAGGTAATTCAGATCAAAACCACAAGTCATTGACTCTGAGGAATAAAGCTAGCAGTAATTTTCTTTTTAATACCTATTTATGTGGGAGAAACAAAGTAACTGGACAGCTGTACTTTCAGACTGTAAAAAAAATAAATGTCTCTTCTGCATACTTGTTAAGAGTTTAGTGACTATTCTACTGAGACGGCTAGGGGAGAATTTACTAGGTTGGAAAGATTAGAGACGATTTGGGAGTCATAATGTTGATCATGTACCAAAAATAAAATATTTTAATATGTTTAGAAGAAATTTAAAACTACCAAGGTATCGGGCTTCCCTGGTGGCGCAGTGGTTGAGAGTCCGCCTGCCGATGCAGGGGACACGGGTTCGTGCCCTGGTCTGGGGGGATCCCACATGCCGCGGAGCGGCTGGGCCCGTGAGCCATGGCCACTGAGCCTGCGCGTCCGGAGCCTGTGCTCCGCAACAGGAGAGGCCACAACAGTAAGGCCCGCGTACCGCAAAAAAAAAAAACAACAAAAAAACTACCAAGGTATCAAAATGAATAAAAAAAGGACAATAAACAAAAATGAATAAAACATCATCAAGTGGCTTCTCTGTCTTCTCCTTTACCTTAATGAGGAAGGAAAAGACAAGCACTGCCTGCTTGGATGCTTACAGATGACCCTATTCCCTCCCCACAAGCACTGTAGTATCACAGACAGTAATTAGTAACCCTATGAATATTTTCCCACCATTGACACAATATATTCCCAAACAAAAATTATCCCCAAACAAAAGGCCCTATAACACTAGTTTTCATTAAGTTGATTTTACCTTTGCTTTGGAGCAGGGATACTGAAACAGGTGGACTTTGCAAAAGTCATCAGCAACAGCTATCACCTTTCTATTGTGGGATCGCACCAGTGCATTGATATCTGTCCCATCAGATCCTTCTGGCCAGACACCTTTGATATGGAAACATGGTGGGGGCGGGGGGGGGGGTAGAAAAATTAGCCTGAAAAATACAACTGCCATGCTACGTGTGTTTATTTTAGAATCTTAATTTTCATCCGTGTTCAAACTCTTAGCTGCTAAATTTCCCTTAAAGATTTCTTAGTGGCTCAATACTTCATTCAAATGATGAAATTTTATCCAAAATCTAATAATAAACTGAAATAACCTCAAGATGGAAAATTTAAGACTTTAAACTTTAAGACTCAAAATACTCACTAGTAACCAGCAGGTGGTGCTAATAAATTTAGTTTTAGGTCGTCTCACCTTGACCATAAGCTCCTCCTGTTTAAAGTTTCCAGTTGGAGGGGAAATTCTCAGTTATTTCTGTAGCACAGTGCAGAAACAATGCCATAGCACTAATTCTTCAAAGTGGACTCTGCTCCCTTTCAGGCAGGCACTTAAAAAAAACACCTCATAGAGATTCTTAATGGAAATGTATAGGCCATCCACTAGTCTATCATGTTATCCATAGAAGTCTCCATAAACCATTACTTATGTCCAAAGGTTGACACAGCAAATTTAATTATTCTGAATCATTATGAGGCACTGGTAATCATGTTCAACATAATCAGCACAAACCTCTACTAGACTAAAAACATACAATATATAACAGTTGAGATGCTGGCCTCCTGTAGTTCAGTACTGCTCTAGAGAACAATTTTTTTTTTTTGTAAATTCACTAAAGATGAAACACTTCTTGACTGACATCTCTTAATAAGTAAATTAAATATTGTTTCACTAAAATAACAAGTTAAGTTACTAGCTATTGGCCACTGCTTCAGCTTCACCCAGAATAATGAATTTGTTTACGGACTAGTCAGGGTTATTTTGTTTTAATTTCTTCCAAGCCTGGTAGGCTTCTTCATCTCAGTAGCAGTTGTATTTAGAACAAGTACCCATAATGGATTATTTTTCTAATGCACACAGCATAAAGAAATGTTCAGATCTACCATCAGAGTGCAGGAGAGAGTCCAACTTTTCAGAAGGCAGAGATACACTGTTAATGGAAAAATATCTAATATTTTGGGAATTGCTTTAGGTACTGGTGCCACATCCATATCCAATATTCTAATTAGAGTATAACATCTCTTTTTAATCCTAACTTTCTCAGAAGAATTCCTACAGATGGGCAAAGACTGAGAAAACTGTCAAAGGACAGATTTCTAGAAATGTCCAAAACATGAGGTTAGGAATGATCTCCACATTTTATCTTTAAATAACGTCTACTGAAAATGCCTTTATATGTCAGTATGGTACTGGGATAATTGGACACCCACATGCAAAAGAATAACAACTGTTGACAATGATGTGGAGAAACAGAACCCTCGTACACTGCTGGTGGCAGTGTAAATGGTGCAGTCACTTAGGAAAACAGTCTGGCAGTTCCTCAAAAGGTTAAACACAGTTACCATTTGACCCTGCAATTCCACTCCTAGGTATAACCCAAGAGAATGAAAACATGTCTACATGAAAACCGTTCACAGCAGCATTATTTATAATAAAAAGTGGAAACAACTTAAGTGTCCATCAACTGATGATGAACCGAATGTGGTATAGCCATACAAAGGGATGTTATTCAGCCGTAAAATGAAGTACTGATACATGCTATAACATGATGAACCTTCAACACCTGTGCTAAAGGAAAGACGTCAGTTTCGATGGATCACATAGTACATGATTCCATTTATATGAACTGTCCTGAATATGCAAATCATTAGAAAAAGAAAGAAGATCAG